TTGGCTACCTMAGCCAGCCCTCCCCAATTTTTTTTTACTCTATTTATTGGGGTGTGCGCGCATGGTTGCGCGTGCACTAGGCGCCGCACGTGTGGAGCTCGCAAGTATAGGGGTGATATAGGGGGTTATGGACAGTTTAATAAGGGTGTTGGCGGCTGTTTGGGGCCGTTGGGGTGGTATATGGGGTATTGGGGTCTGCTATGGGGGTGTTGGTGATATTATTAGGGGTTCTGGACCCCCCCCCCCAAAAAAAAAAATGCGGGGTGCCGACGACCCCCGACCAGTAGGTTCCGACCAGCCGACCGGTCGGTGGGTCGGCAGTCGACCAGTCAAGGGTCGCCGACGGTCAGGGTGTGCAACACTGGACGAGGGATTATTTGGGACCTGTACCGAAAACTTGGTGTTGACGGCATTCCCATCTTCCCCTCTTCTTCGTCTGAGCCCCCCTCTTCTTCGTCTGTGTATGGTTGGGGACTGGCGCATTCTTCCTGTGTGAGCGCCAGGCCCCTTCACACCATGGAATGCTGATGATGTATGTCTGGTCTGCATGGCAACATTGATTGTTCGGAYCATTGGTATTTAAGCCTTCCGCTGTGCTATCTTGTRCTATGTGAGAGAGGTTGGCTCTTGTTCTGGCCTGCACCTTTACGGTATGTGACAGTTTGGTATCAGAGCAGACCTCTCAATCAGAAGATCCGCCCAATCAAGTAGCCAGCTTGCTTGATATATTGATTGTTGATTGATTAATTGATTGATTGATTGATTGATTGATTGTTTATTAGTAAATCAAGTAGGCCTTCGTCAAATCTCTGCAAAAAAAAAAAATTCTTTCTCGCAACAAATATCTGAAAATTTCTGATAATAGCATTTTGCGAGGCCAATGCCTCTATGAGCCCCCTTATGGCCCCATTCGGAAGCAAGTCGGCCGCCCTAAGTGAAGGCATGCTTTTGGTCACCACGCAACTCATGGAAATTCAGGCAGTTGCGCAGCGCCAGTTGGTTGAGAGGACCCAGGC